TAAAAAAAAAAAAAAGCTTTACGTATAGGGCAAGGAAAAAAGCATCTGAATTTGGTTGACAGACAATCATGTGTGATGTAATATTTTATACATATGTGTATGATTACATGCACACACACACACAGTTCGAGTGAAATGGAGAATCAATAGCTGAACTTAATGTTACTACGAAGTCAAAGGATAGTCAGATATTGCAGCTACAGCATTGCAGGTGATGAAAGAAATATAAATCACAACAATTTGTCTACACGGAATTTTTTCTCTTTTAAGATATGAGGAAAGAGAGTTGGTAACATGTCCGTTCTATGACTGTAGTTCTCTAATCTGCCTCCTCTCTGCAATGACAAAAACTAAACCATTTCTGGCAATAAGACTAGGGTGAAACAGTAGGTAGGTATGTAAGCTTTTTGATTAAGGTTTTCCTTAGGTTTCTTGTCTCCCCTTTTTTTGCCAGCTAATACCTGTGAAGGGGGCAATGTCTACACATTTAATCCCCCTTTCAGAAGCTGTAGTAGAGAAGATGAAATAAGGACACTCCCATCAAAGCACGAGGATGCAACAATTTCTGATATCAATTTATCAATTATAAAGAATTAAGGAACACATATTTATAAGTTCTAGTCCAGCCAACTTACTTATTTTTTTAAGAAAGTGGATTTTTAATACTATACAAATAAAACACAATGCTTGCCTTGGTTGTGCAGCTTCACTGGCATGTGAAAAAGCTTGGTGGTCACAATGCAGGATAAAGACAATGGGAGCTAAAAGTTCATGCATACCCTAAACGTAGAAAGAAGCAAAAGTATAGTAAGATTTTCCAGTCATATAATAGTTCCTAACGCATAGCATCAGGCAGCCAGCAATATTAGGTGCAGACTAACTAAAAGCATGAACATTTACATTCTTAACAGAACGGTTTCATAATCAATGGCTTTTATCTTAAATTCTGATTAAATCGAAGTGTTTATTCTTCTATAATATACAGAAGCAAGTTATTCTCCCTTTTTCTGACATAACAGACAACAAATTGGCAATGGTAGGCAACCCTGCACCTGGCAGTTTACTCCAAGATCTATGTTCATAAATATGAATTTTATTTATGATAATTACAATCATGATCCACAGTACAAAGATCTGCAATAGGGAGAAATTACAAAATTTAAAATTATTTTTTATTTAATAATGTTCCAAAACCATAGATAAAAGCATAACAGTAACCTTCAGAGGAGACAAGGGCAGCTATTTGGGAAATTAGAACATGAAGCTTCCATTCCTACAGACATGAGAAATAAAATGAGTTTTTTTCTTTTTTTTTTTTTAATTGTTATGTCAAATTAAAAATAAACTCATTATAACACAATGCATAGGAGACCTGGTACTGTTCATATGTACACATTACATATGCAATCTATATTAAGATACAGAAAAAATACAGAAACATGCAGGAATCAGGACAGAAAAAACTGTTGGATAGTCGAGGACTTGGGCCAGCATTAGAAGCATGGCTGGGCCACCCAGGCCAACCATTGGCGCTTTTACGCGGCGCTCACCAGGAACAAAAAAGGAGTCTTGATTTGCCTTGATTCACCTGGGGCTTGTCAATTTGTTATCAGGAGCAGAAGCAACCGCTTCAGGAAACAGGCAATCCAGTTGGCAAGCAGCAATGCACTGGCAGGTAAAACTACAGCCTGCAGAATGAAACCTCATCTTCAGCAGACATTCATCCCCTTCCCTCAGCTTAGATCAGAGAAAAGGAGGATTTGGGGTATCATAACTGGGGAATTTGGTTATGTCAGGGGCGTTGGGCTCCTAGTGGTAGACTAGGACGGCAGGTAGGAACTACGCAAGCTACAGGTAGGGCTGGGGGTCAGCCATACAAAAGAAATGTGGGGAGCCCTTCGGTGATGGAGAGGATGTGGGACGATGGGTTGAGACCTGTCTGTCTGCCTCTGGACACAGGGATCACTCCAAGGGGAAGGAACTCCTGACCTCAGCCCAAAAACACCAACTACAGCCAGGGCTTGGTGCCAGGCGCCCAGGCTACCCCTACTGTGTCTCGCTCTGGGTGGAGTCCTTGCCCGGCTGTAGGAGGAAGAGTGTGCTGCCAGCAGTGCTCCAGTTCAAAGGTGCAACTACTTCACCAAGTGGAGCCTCAGTCCCAGCTCCAGGTGAGTGCGCTGGGCAGACAGGGGTGCCAGGAAGACCATCTTGTCTATCCGGTTGGCAGAAAGAGCACTGGGGTTGGCCTGTCAAGCTCAAAGGCGTTTTAGGCTGCTGTCAGGAGTCAGATGATGGGTCCCCACACAGGAGCTGTTCTACTTTTATGCTTGCAGTTGCAAGCTAGGAAGTCTCTCCACTTACTTTTCCAGCCCTTTCAGTGATGGACAGACATGAGCAATGAAAGAGTTACACACTTGTGCAGCTACCCTGCTGCTTTGCTTGTATATCAGTTGATATTCCATGTAGCATTTGAGGAGTACTCAGTATCAGCTTCATATGTACCAAACAGATCCAGTAACTACTAAAAACCTTTCATTTTTATTGGAAATAATGGGGATTTTCCTGAAGTGGGACAAACTGAGCAGAGAGGTAGATGTGGAAACCCTCTCTAGATCATTATCTATTCTGAGTGTGCTCGGATGCATTTTAGTGAATCTTATCTGTTCGTAAGAGGAAATTCCAACACCTAGCAGCGTTGAAGAAAAAGCAGTGTGTTATCAACTGAAATCCTAGGAGATTTAATTTTAATTTCTTCAGGACTGAGATGGCTGTTATAGCCTCAACTGTAGGGTTGCAGCAATAGCAGTCAGTTGACTGGGCAAAGCTGAAGCCAGCAAAACTACTGAAGTTTGGACGTTTTCTTTCTCTTCCTATTTCTGAACCTTTAGGGTCTACTTCAAAAGATGAAGGCTAAATAGAAATTCAGTTAGGGGGGAAAAAAAAAAAGATTAAACCCAATGTAGCCACTTGATTTCAGGAGCTGATGTAAAATTCCCAAACACAACACTATGGGTTAGATTACAAATTGACAACTTTAGATTTCTGAAAGTCTTATGGTCATACCAAGAGGGAAAGGAATAGGAGAGACAGGGAGATAGGTCCAGGGTTAGACAATACATGTAAGTGGCAAAAATATTTAAATAAACTGGAGATAACCTGGGTTGTACTTTCATACATACTCACAGCCCTCGGTTAATTAACAGCTCCACATCTAATCTTTTATTCACCCTGCTATACTAAAATGAAATAAGAGAAATGGAAATGCCAAAAACTTGACTACCTAATAAAACTACCACCTAAGCTGTAAACATATAAGCTGAAGAAAGAGGACATAAAATAAGAATTAGTTAAAAAAGATAAAAGCACATCATACATTCTTCCAACATAATAATAGATCAACTTTATAATAAAGTAGAATCATAATGTGGCTGCCCACATACAACAAAAACAAAACAAACAGATGATGAAATATCAGGATTTCAAAAAGATACCTCTGATCTTTCAGTTACAAGAGTACTTCAAATGTTTAGAGATTTTTAGCTTGGCAAGAAAAGCCACCAGTGTAATATGCATAGACATATTTTTTCAATGCTGCAGTTTACTAAAACTCTTTAGTGTTAATAAATAAGTTGACAGAGCTCAGATAATTTTATGACACTTCCCAGCTACAACAAAATATTGATTTCATAATACAGTCTATGGTTTAGAAAGAAAACCAGATATATAGCATTTCTATAATGAAAAGTGAATCAATGCATTTCAAAATTATATTGACTTCTCTAAGGGCAATCAAATCATGAGTGAACAATAGTTAGCCTAGTGATTTAGCTTAATTGTCACTATTTCATTTCTGAGTAACTAGGACCAGAATTTTGGCACCAGTCTTACAGAAGAACGTTAAGAGTAATTTTTACATATTCTTAAGTACAATATACTATTCTCTTTAGATTTTATATTTACAGCTGCTATTTAAAAATTCAACAATCCCAGTGAGGATTCTGTCTTTAAAATCTGTAATACAGCTTCACAACATGCTACTCCATTTGACTAGGGGCAGAAATATCTTTTTCCTCATCAAATAAAATGTTACTTCACACTGGTCAAAAAACCACAAACCCTACTACAAAGACAACTTTCATGCATATACGCATATTAAACAAACATTATTGATTGCTTCTTGTAAGACTATATGCTGATGCTATGTAATAGTTTCAATAAAATGTTGTAAACTTCAGATACACTTTATTTACATTTATAAGTATGCAAATTGTCAAGGAACTGTAACTTTGTCCAGATATTTTGAAAGAGAAACATCGGGTCCTGTACAGATGCTGACAGACAGAAGTATAAGTTTTCATTTATTGGCCAAGTGTTAGAATTCTGATAGCAAATGTAGCTCTTGTATGTGGTCATACAAGTGAGACACAGGAATTCTCATGGAGAACAACAGGACCAGTCCCATGATGGATACTGAATATGAAGACAAACTCCTTAATTTAGGCTTTGTATTCAAGTCACTGTGGAGAGAGCAGCTTGGAGGTGATCTGTTATTGATGAATTAATGGTAACCTTCATTATTTTCAAGAACATATGCTAAGCTTTGATGTAGTGGAAATTATTATGGGAAGTGGGGCTTGAGTCAATGGTAAAAACAGAACCAATAAAAATAGTAGGACAGGAAGATTGACTGCAACATAGGTATTTGCTAAAAGAGGGAAAAAAACATATCCTGTCGCCACCACAAACTCTATTTCCTATTAGCTAATTCAGAGAAGGGTACTGATGGACATGAAAGAAATGTTATCTAAAAAGAGAGGGACACGGGGACAAAAAAGCAGGATTGTTACTAATAAGCTAACAGGAGCATTAATTTAAAAACAAACAAACAAACAAAACCACCCTTTTAAAGTGAGGTAAGAAAAATGAAAAGCTCCTAATAAAAGTGACACATGTCCACAACAAGAGAGGAAAACCACAATCATTTGCTATTTTGTGGACTTGGCACAGCACCATGAGACTTGGGTGATACACTGAACACACTTCAGAGAGATTAAATCAAGAGTTTTTCATTATCCAAATTTATTTCATTTTCTGCACTTCACCTCTCCCTCTTAGTCCTGTGGCAACCCCTTCCTGAAATTACTGCACTACTGATGCACACCAGTTGAAAACAGAGGTAAAGAAGTTTTCTTTGTCAACAGCCTGTAGGCTCGCAAAATTGAACCTGTTCTTTTATCTGCCTATGTTCATTTAGCCCACCAAGCAGTCTTTATTAAAGCTGAGGCATCAGGCAGTCAAAGTTCATTAATACCATTTATATAATCTCTGCAGTTTCAATTAACTCAGCAAGACATTCTACTACATGATAACAGTCTCATTAATTCAATAAAATCCCATAACTATTAACAATATGGTCTATGTTAAACGGGGTGTCACCTAGTAGAAAATAATAGCTTTAACAGCTTCTGAAGAAACTCAGGGCTTTTTTTTTTTTTTTTTTTTAAATTCCCTCTGGCTAAATATTCTCCTTATGTAGAAAGGTATTATTTCTTGGTAAGGAATCAAGAGGATTTTAAATATGAGCAGAGGCTAATTAAGTCCTTTTAAGTCATATCAAAGAGTAAAATAATACTTCTTGTTCAATAAATGATAGACTACATTTGCTGGAATGCGTTCTTCCATTTTCCCATCATCAGTACTCTGTGCTATATTCACTAGAAATGGGAGGCTGAATACTGCTGAAGTGTTTTCTTTAGCAGTGCCCTTCAAAATACAGCTCACAAATCTCATTTTTTCTTTTTATCATGCAAGACTATTCCTTACTTATAGTCTGTCAAACATGAGAAATAACCAGGTGATGAAGATTTAATATGTTTGGTAACTACATATTTGATTTTTGATATAATCTGTAAGACAGTTCTTCAGAAGTAACTGTTCCTTCAACTCATGTGTTGGTCTTTTCATGAAACACCACTAATTTCCTGGCTTGAGGACAGGGTGGTCACAGACTATGCCTGAAAGCATACAGCGTCTATTAAAAATCTTCACATTTACTGAACCTCTGTATTTTTGTAATGAATTTTTTTTTGTCTATGTGAAGTTTGCTGCTCTACCGTTTATCCTTTGTCCATGCACACGATATCCCTCAGTCTGTCAGTCCCTACTCACCCTACAGTTAATAGCCTGGAGAAACAAATACAAATATACTTACGTAGATAACTCTGCATATTGGTCTTGCTACATTAATTTAGTACCAAGCTTATACTCACTTCAAAACCTTCAGAACAAATGTTAAATTAATTTAGCCCGCATCCCATATGGATGCATAGTTAGTGAAGCTTTAAGGCTTTCTTTACCATTTTATCAAAAATGGTTTGAGCAGGCTCTCCATCAGGTAACACTGTAAAAGTGGTATTTGTAGCACCCTTATCCTTCAGTCAAGAGGCATTTGTCAGCTGCGTTGTATTTGGATGCTACAGGGTTAGATAAAGGATCTATTCGCTAACGTACCGCATGGCTTTAGCACTTTGAGGAAGAACTTAAAATATTACATAAAACTTAAAATAGTAACTTTGCCTAAATTTCAGAAGTCACTATTTATGTTTTTTGTTTATTCAGTACCATTTTTAATCCTGCTGCATACTTTCTTTCTTTACGTAAGCACAGAAAACCTTTCTTTTTCTTTTTCTTTCTTAACCAACACTGAAGAAAAAGATGGTGTTTATTAAGAAATTTGAAGTTAGACAACTTAGCAACCTTAAAGAAAACAATTTGAGGGACTGTCTTATGAGGAAAAAGCATATGTTATTCAGTGAGCTTACTCTTCTTACTATCCAGCTGACAAGCAGCTCTTTGATTGCTTTAGCATTATGATATAACTTCGGATACAACAGAACTACATTATTGTCAAACCGTATAGAAGATGTTGAGTCAATGAATGCCACCTGTACAGTATTTTCATTACCTGTTTATAAAGCAACTGCTCATTTTCTCTGGCATAGCAGAACAGAACATCTGTAAGAATTTTTCTCACGTTCTCTTGCTGGAAATACTGCATTTCAGGAAAGCTGAAAATGAAGAAATACAGTGAAAGTAAACAATATAGCGCACAGAATCTCAGTTGCTGGTCTTCTAGAAACCCTTTTAGGTAAGACAGCACCTCCCTTGTCTGCTTTCCCACCGCTCTGTGAATTGTGGGTGCTGCTAGAGTAAGAATACTTCTAAAGACTTGTTATATTTGGTTTGCAACCGAAATTCTGAACCATATTCTTTAATATACATCAGTCTGCTACATAGATACGATGATATCACCAGTTATATTTAAATAAGTAATCCCTTTTAACATTATGAAAACTAGAGACCTGCAAGAATGAAATACAATGGCAGATTGTTTTAATCGTCAACTTCTTACACATAGACAATCTACTGAAAATGAATGACTCGGAGAATCTAATCCAAATAAAACGATGTACCATATGAGTATGTTCCCAACTGCCTAAAGGATCAAGTTCCTTTCCTCCTCAATGTCATGAAAACAAGTTGAACTGAAGCAGAATGAAAGGAGATGGAACGAGAGGCAATAACTGAAGCGAAGATCTACCCTACTCTGGCAGGGCAAATATCTTTTTAAGTGAAATAGAATGAAGTGGAACTAGTGTGAGAATAAGGGAAAAAAACTTCTGGGAAAATCCTGTTATCTGCGTATAATCCAGGAAAATGCAAGTATTTACAATCTGTAACTATTCTGAAGCAGCTCTCACCTGTGCATCCTGCTCCTTGACTGTTGGAAGTAGGAAATAAAGTGGTTATGCAGGATGCACTTTAATGAATAAGTGCACAAACAAAAGTGTTTTCATGCTTACCGAAGTAACTAGATGGCAAAAAATTTCATAAAGCAACCACCCCAATCCACATCCAGCTGTGTGGAGCAACAACAAATAAAATAAAAAAAAAATCTGGAAAGGTGTAATACCAAAAAGAAAGGAAAAGGTAAAGTTGGACAAAGAAAAACAGAGGAATGCTTAAAAAGACAACAAGAGTAGGCCTCAGGCTTGATTGCTGAAATAAAGGCTATAGTATTGTCAGTTTTAAAATGAAATCACATGGATTGCAGATAAGTTTTCTTCAAGCAAATTTTATTTTTCCTGCTTCCCAAGTCTGAGCTACAATGCTAAACTTTAGACCAGTTATATTAAGGCTGTTGTAAAGCCTGTCATGGAGAAACAATATAGGGAATTATAATAAACTACTTCAGATAAAATTATTAGTGTTAATAATTACTGTGGTCATCTCACAGAGGTGATGACAGGTAAGCACAGAAACATAACTAATTAAGGCTAGAAAGGTGCTTTGAAATCCTTGGATGAAGGACCTGAATCAAGAGACAAGGCAGACAAGACACCGTGGCTTAAACGCAGCAATGCTGAAGTCCTGAGAAAGGCACTGGGATGAGGGGTGTAACATTTTCCTGGCACCTGGTGGGGGTAATGGTAGACCATCATTTGGAAACTTGTATGCACTTGTACTAATCATATTACTGTAAAGGAAGGACACAGCTGAGACCAAAAGTGCATTACAGCAGATGGCAATCGACATAATTTAGGGGTTTGAAGAGATTATTTCTGAAGGACTGTTATTCAGGCCTGCCCTATGAAGTTTAGGAAGAGAAGGCTAACAAAGAAAACTCAAAAATACACAGAGATATCTGTGAGGATCTAGTAATACCAGAGATTGTGACAGAAAGGATAATAACAAACTCAGGAATAAGCTGGCTGAAGTATTAATTATAGTAAATGTAAATACAAGAGATCATGAGGGAACTATCAGTTCAGGATGGATTTTTATGGAGAATGTCATTTTATGATTAAAGCACTGTTTCAGAAATACAGTATCCTCAAATCAGGCAAGGTAAGAATACTTTTCACGAACACTAGAATATTACATTTAATTACATTTCTGAGAAAGACTGTATAAGGACATGGGAATTTTGCTAGACTGTTTTACCACAACTGCTACAGTTAAACAACGGCACATTCAAGTCCCTGCTTTCTGAAAGTGGAGACCAGCGTGAGTTAGTTATCGTTTTTTAAAACCTTCCTTTAGTCCATTTAGGGGCTCCTACACCAGAGGCAGCCAGACTTCGACACAGAAGAAACTTAGGGCGGCAACCAAATAAAAGGATGCACAAATACTTTATGAAACAAATTTGGTGGCAGACAGAAATGAGGCTCTTAACCACAGCCATGGAGTGACCATCTTTTCTTTCATGAACAGATTCCAGCCCCTGCCATTCCTCAACCCTGTTACTCAGCTGGAATGGGGAAAGCTACTAAACCAGAAAAAATGGAAGATGCTCTTGCAGCTGCAAAGGTTTGGTAAAGAATAATAATAACCGCCCCCCCCCATTGCTCACTTATTTCTTGAAAAGGCATAAATTGATGTATAAAGGTAGCTCTCCCTTCCAGCAGTCCCTCCTCTTACATAGAAACTAGATTTTGTCTCCCGTGGTCACAGTGGATTGCTGTTTCTTCCCATCACTTCTATATGCTTAGGAAGGATGTAGCTGCCTAATGGCTTCTCCACTGCCTTTTTTATGGGTGGGGTTGCTTTTTGTTTTTTGGGAGATGGAGAGTTTGAAACAGCAGCACCCACCACTGCTCATCTTCCCACAGCTTCCATTGTCCTAAACTGTGACTGTTATTCCTGAAGCAGAAACTAGGTAGACCAACATATAAAAATACTACTACAAAAGAAAAGAAATCCACTTGATTAGTCTACTGGGAATGCCCCCTAAGCATTTTGTTTTCTTAAATACTGGAGAGAGAAAGAGGGTAATCAAATCTAGCCATTTACAATCCTAGATGTACAAGGTGATGCCAGCAAGTAGACTGGTATTTTGATTTGACTGGTAGCTAGATGCTCTTGCATCTGCCAATCTGCTGATTTCCATTTCTGCAGAATATTTTTAAAAATTCTTCTTTATCACTTACAGATCTGGATGAGGGGATCAGGTGCACCCTCAGTAAGTTTGCAGACGACACCAAGTTGGGCAGGAGTGTTGATCTGCTCGAGGGTAGGAAGGCTCTGCAGAGGGACCTGGACAGGCTGGATCGATGGGCCCAGGCCAACTGTATGAGGTTCAACAAGGCCAAGTGCCAGGTCCTGCACTTTGGCCACAACAACCCCATGCAGCGCTACAGGCTTGGGGAAGAGTGGCTGGAAAGCTGCCCAGCAGAGAAGGACCTGGGGGTGTTGGTCGACAGTCGGCTGA